ATCCACAATTAAATAACCGTACGGTTCTGACGTAGCGTCTTGAAAACTCTCCATGAAATATCTTTTTTGTGTAGGATATATTTGATTTGCTAAAACATTGATTTGCAATTTGTCTCGAGGGTTTTTAAACAAAATCAAATAATTGGTGTTTAAGCTGATGGAACGACTATGTTTTCCTTGATGAAAAACATTTTGAGTGATTAAAATGACGCTCATATTTCTGTGATGTCTCAGCTGGGTAAATAATTTTAGCACTCCAGGATGGCTGGACGTTTGAGACATCATGTCATCCAAGATCACCAAGTGGTTTTGACCCGATGGAAATAAATCATCATCCTCGAATGAAAGCGGGAGACCTTGAATGAATCTAATACTTTTATTACAAAGATCATCATACATAGGTTGATAAGATGTAAAAAACCACACGATGTTTTTTGGCATTTCAGTTAAACATTGCATACAATTTTCCAAAATACTTTTTACAAAAAAGGTTTTTCCACAGCCTGACGGACCAGCAATTTGTGCACTGAATGGAGATTTTAGTCTAGCGTCAAAATCAGTTTCCATTTTTAATACCCAAATGGTTCTGTACTGCCGTCAGCAAATAACCTCCGCTTATCAAAAATCACACGAAACCTTTTCACAAATGAAACATTCGAGAGAGTGAGGCCTTTTTTATCCCTCTTGACGATCTCCTGCCGAGTTTGCAAAAATCTCCCCCTTTCTCCAGCGATGTAGCCCTCCACCAGCAGCGCCAAGCTGTCAAAATTGATGTGATCAGATGAAATGAATGACTGTGTGATACCCTTAGCCTTTATCACCACCTGCTGGCGGTCCCGGGTTTTGTAAGCATACGTTTTTGGACCGGCTGAAACAAATTCCGTGATGGAATCGCCGTGCAGTTCATCGGTTAAATCCCCCAGCAGCGGTCCTGTTGGTAAAACACACTCATTCTCTTTGACAGAATAAATTATAGAATCTGTATCGTAATAAATGACGCGATTTCCCAGTTTGTTCAACGCATTTAATAATTTCAATCTGGCATAAGTTGTGGTGAAAGCGGCGATAAATATGTTGTTGCTTCTGCCAGGAGTCGTTAGGCATTTATCTGTCAAACTGTGCTGCACCAGAACGGCTCCTGAAGTGACAAAGCTGAAGAATTTAACTTTGTATTTCCCTGAAAACAGAATGTCAAAAAATTCATCAGGTTTTTGAACAAATGTGGTTTGTACAAGATCATCTCTTTGGCCAAACTTTCCCCAGAGTGAATTGAGACATAATTTTGAAATGGCACGCTTAGCAGGATTGTGCTGAATCTTAGACTCATCTAATTGTATTCCCTGATGAAGCTCGTAGTCCTGAATGTATTTTCTTTTCGACTCATCGTCAATCAATCCTTCAGGAAAACCAGACGCTTGTTGTTTCTGCTTCAAAAACGTGTTAATGTAACCTGCAAACACATCTTTACAGCTTTTCTCAAAATCCCAGACTTCAATCATTTTCACCAGACGGTAACCTGACTCCAAAGCGTAATTGAACTCTACACTCACCCAAACGCCCGTCAAAGCACGTTGAGACGCGCTGTGTGAACAAGAATCAGATTGATTATTCATTTCAGCGCATGTACGACATAGTGTAAAAACAAGTTTACCTTTGGATGTTTTAAAAGGCAGAACAGGGAAAAACAGTTTTCTGGGTGGCAAAACAACAGCTTTAATCAAGCCAAAATAGTGACTTGGATCTCTGAAATTTTTAACATGAATTTTGGGATGGCCTATGGGATAAGTCTGTGTGGCGTTTACATAAGGGTACAGACTCGTAAAATCCACATAGTGGATTTTTTCACCGCTCTGAGCCGAATGCCTCAGCCGAACCGGACAAGTTCTGCCTCCATACAGGGCTTCACGAGGTGAGAGAGGAGCTGGCGGTGGGTCAAATCTTGAGACAAACTGTTTCACGTCCGGATCAGTTTTTACCATCTCCTGCCAATCATGTTCCCAAATGACATTCATTTTTAATCGATGCACAGTTTCCAACGACTGAAGCTTTTCGACGGTTTTGTCATAAATTTCACCAAAAGTGATTTTTCTCAGAGGACATATGGATGACTGTAAGAAACATTTTGGACAGCCGTGGAAAAAACAACCCATATACTCAAACCCTTGTTCGACGCCTGAAATCACAGCATATCCGTCGAGATAAAAATCTCCCACTTTATACTCCCCCAAAGGCGTTAAAGCGTGTTGAATGTCTACATTTTGACTGCGTGAAACCCATTCCAGCCACACGATGCTTGAACTTGAAAATGGTTTTTGTTGCGGTCGATAGCCGAGCGGACAAGGAATGGCCAATGTGTCTGGTTTTAGGAATTTTGATCTAAACACGCGCATGCAAGCTGAAGCGATCGTGACAGATTTCAGCGGGTCGATACCTGTTTCATTAAAAAACTCCTCTCTGAAAATACCGCATGCTTTACGCAGAATTTCCACATCGTTTCTACAATAAAACACGGCCTCCTTTCTGAAATCAAACAGCTGCTGTTTAGACACATCGGTGTACCATTCTAAAAATATTTTTTTATGCTCCGGGGACATTTGTTCAAACCCATAATGGCTGACATCTGGATAAGGTCCTTTATAATTCAGATGTTCAAGCGATGAAAATCTGTGAGGAAAATAACCTTTAGTTTTATCTGTAAAGCCCAAAGCAGCTGGAAGGTTGGCTAATTTCATCATGAGAAAACTTAAGGAGTCTATGAAGCTCAGCCCGAAGTCTGGATCGTGAAAACTCAGGATTTTACAGCCTTGCATGAGTATATTTTTGGGAACAATTTTTAATTGACACATAGCTCTCAAAATTATATAAGCATCAAATCCACGCGCATTGTGTGCAACAAATGTATAATTGCTGAATTTAGGACGACGCATCTGCATAATAAAATCTTTAATGCAATCTAAACCAAATTTCTCCCAAACGTCGCCTGAATCGGATTTTGTACAGATTAAAAAAGGTGTATGCACACCGTTCTGATCCGTAAACGTTTCAGTGTCGTAATAAATAACCTTTTCCGTTAAACCGTCATCTTTTTTTTCAAGCTGAATAAAACAGCGATGATCATCCGTGACCACCGACTGTTTGCAAACGATGCATTTGGTCGCTGAGCAAACGTGCTGTGAACCATTTCCACCCATGGCGATGTAATAAGTTTGTTTACAAATGGTGCATTTTTTAAACATTTCGCAAGGAGAAACTAACCTGTTTGCTTGAGGCCTTAAAACAGGTGTTTTGTGAGTTTGAAAACATATTACATTTTGGCATATTCGATTACAATCAGAACATGTGATGAGAGACGTTTCTGTTCGTTTGCATAAATCGGTATTACACACGCGACAGAACCATTTACAATGATGTCCGTTCATGTTATTGTAAGGAGAAAAGCACCATGAACAAAAATATTTGGCTCCTAAGAAACCTTTAATATTTTTTATACCGTAATAATGTTGATTCAGTAGCAAAATGAACAACGGATTTGACCGATCGCTAAAATCTGTTTCAAATTTAGAAATGATTCTGTCGGATCTGTAAAAAATGATTATTTTTCTTTGAACAATATTTTCTTATCGAATCACGTCGCTAAATGAAACGGTTGATTGCTCCTGAAGCCCTGCCTGTTGATGAATATTTTTAGCCACATTCAATAATTCTGTATCTCTCGCTGAGGGATTTAACAGTCCGGCTATGCTTAGCGCAAAACACAACGGCTGATTGGCCTCTGGAGGGCAAATGAGATGGTTTCGTTTTTTATTGACTAATTCGTGATCCAGAATGGTTTCGATTTTTCGTTTCCCACCGCCAGAAGGATTATTTATCACTTGCAGTCTGAAATTAAATTCGTTGTCGGCCTCTAATGCTTCATTTGATTGGACTAACAGATCCAGTAAATACTGAAGCTGATTTAACATATTTGATCCGTCATAATTAAAATTAACGTGGTGCGTCGTGTGCAAAGTATTAGTTTCAAACTGGACTCTATCGTTGGGACGCGCGATCTGGCTTCCTCTTTCAGCAAACCTGTTTAATATTTCCATCAGATTAATATAAAACTCGGCTGGGTCGTTGATTGCTTGAAAAGACACACTCTCTCTAATTTCACGCTGGTTAAAAGCTGCGTTTACGCTCCCTCCGATCTGCCGGTGTTCTATTTGTCTCAAAATTTCATCTACAGCTTGTGGAGATGGCTCATCTGAATTTGCTAGTATTTGATCGATCTCGTTTACGCGCTGCCGGTGTTCTATTTGTCTCAAAATTTCGTTTATTGCTTCTGATGAAGGCTCATCTGAATTTGCTAGTATTTGATCGATCTCGTTTACGCGCTGCTGGTGTTCTATTTGTCTCAAAATTTCGTTTATTGCTTCTGATGAAGGCTCATCTGAATTTGCTAGTATTTGATCGACCTCGTTTGAAACGGCTTGGGATGCTAAAATCTCACTATCTGAAGCTAATTCATCTACTTCACTCAGTCCGCTTACATCAAACCAGTCAGTTAACACCAAATTATCGGCCTCCTCCACTGAGGGATTTTGGCTGGCTAAAATTCTATCTAACATTTCATCATCAACTATGTTTAATTCATCATCAACTACGTTTAATTCATCATCTACTTCAAACAAATCTGAAAGGTCATCAAACCAATTTTCACTCATGATACAAAAGACATTAAAAACCTACTAAAAATGAAGAAAAAAAATCTGCGTCGTCCTTACAAAGTGAGCACTTGTTGGACCACATCCACCAGGCCGGAATTCACTTGCAGGAGCAGGTACCCAAGCTTCATCCTGTTTAATCTCTGCAGTGGCGTAAATATGCCCCGCTTCTTCTTCTTCAACCGTTTTTCTGATGAAAAAATAAATAAAAATAAATAAAATGAACGAGCTTTTAATAAATTATATATAAATTTAACTTACTCTGTACAGGTGCAGGAGGTGGGGCGTTCTCTTCGTCCGTCGTGGGTTGTTCTGAAAGGATAAAAAACATCATCTTTTTTACTTCAAAATTTAATATACTCTGCGGAGCGGTTTTGTGAAACAGCTTACCGGCTGGCTGCTCAGGAGCACGTTCAGCGGTTTCAGAGTCGCTGTCGGATTGTTCTGAAAGAATAAAAACAAGGAAAAATATGAACGAATCATCTTTGAAGTAAATAACCACCTTTTTATATATCTCTTACCCTGTGCAGGAGAAGGGGGAGGAGGAGGAGGAGGAGGAGGTGTGGGCGGAGATATTGAAGCGGCTGTCGGATGTTGTTCTGAAAGGATAAAAACAACGGTAAATGTGAACGAGTCATCTTTGACTTATTAATCAGTTGTTTTTTTATCGTTACCATCCGTCTGCGCATGAGAAGGGGTTGGAGGTGGTGGGGGCTGAGATATTGGGGGTGCGTAGGCCGTCGACCGTTGCTCTGGAGAATAAAAACGATAAATATGAACGACACATCTCTGACTTATTAATCGCTATTTTGTAATCACTTACCAGCTTCGAGGATCGTCTGTGGCGTGATGGTCCTGTAACGAACAGCTTTCGCGTTCGCATTCGCGTGTGATCTGACGGTCTGGCTGGGCTGATACGAATGTAAGACGGTTCGGCTGGTGGATGGAGGCGTGGTTGGGTAAAAGTTATCACTTCCGGGGTAAGGTTGAACCCCCTCCTTTTCTGTAAAATGAGATATTTCTCAGCTGAAGAAAAGAACGTTACGTATATATTTATAAAATCCACTCACTCAGATTGTCGACCGCACGGTTAATTTTAGACAAATCATCCAGGGGAAAAGGTACCGGAGTTTTACAAGTTAATTCCTCAATAGGAATTTCTTCCCACTCGCCGTCCGATATGACAATAGCGTCTGAAAATAAAGATGTTAAACCAGAAAGAGAAAAAAAGATTTGCGTCTTAAGTTAAAAACTTACCCGTCATCTTAGCTTGTTACACCTCAAATCACGACTCCGAAAATGCGGTTTTACATTTTATACAGCTGTTTAAAAAAATCTTGAATAGAAAACGGTTGCGATTGGTCGAAAAAAAAAATGTTTATAAACAATACATAGTCATTTGCTTTGTTGTATAGGTAGACAAATGTCTGAATGGGTGTTTAGAGTTGTGTGTGTGTGTGTGTGTGTGTGTGAGTGTGTGTGTGTGTGTGTGTGTGTGTGTGTGTGTGTGTGTGTGTGTGTGTGTGTGTGTGTGTGTGAGTGCGTGCGTGCGTACGTGCGTGCGTGCGTGTGTGTGTGTGTGTGTGTGTGTGTTTAACTCGTATCCATTGCTTCTTCAAAACTCCCAGGAGCAGAAATAAAAAAACCTTTACGATCCAAAAAATAATACCGGACCGGTTTTGTACCGGACATTTCTTCCTGAAATCGCTTATGAAAAATCTGTTGCGTTGTCAAGCCAATCTCATCATGTCTCAATTCGAACGTTGTTTTTAGCAGAGGAAGGCTATATTCAAAACACGTATCCATCGGTTCTTCTTCTTCTTCTTCACTCATGTTTCCTTAATAATGGATAAAATGTAGCAGCTCCTTCACTCGTGTGTAAATCCGTTTACGACATGCATGTGCCTTAGTTTAACTATTCTGAGAGGTATGACATTAAAGGTTTGACCAGAGGTACGTCTGCTCTGAGACTTTACTAATCCACCCCTCCCAAAAAACAAACCTCATAAACAGCTTTTTATTTATTTCAGCTGTTATAGGTCCTACAAAAAGGATCAAATCTTTTCTCTGAGGCAGGAAGCAATGTGTGTGTGTGTGTGTGTGTGTGTGTGTGTGTGTGTGTGTGTGTGTGTGTGTGTGTGTGTGTGTGTGTGTGTGTGTGTGTGTGTGTGTGTGTGTGTGTGTGTGTGTGTGACAGTGAAAACAAAAAGTCACAAAATGTGACACTAAAGGCAGGAGGCGATGGTTAAGCTTTCACTGCTGATGATGACGAACCAAAGATGCTGTTCACCTAAATAGCTCTTTGAAACAATAGCAAGTCATTTGCTTTTGTGAATTGTTTCCATGCCGACTTGGTTAAAATGAGCTCTAAGATAGATGAACCAGATCTTTGTTCACCAACTTTCCCGCCACTCTTTCAATTCAGCCCACCTGCAAAAAAGTAAGTAATTTGCTTTTGCGTGTTGTTTCCGTGACGACTTGGTTCAGCCAGTTCTTTGTTTTAAAACTTTCCCGCCACCTGCAAAAAAAAGGAAGTCAATTGCTTTGTCAGAAGTCGCTGGTCGTGCAAAATTGTTTAGAATGAGCTTTAAGAAAGCTCAACAGATCTTTGTTGAACCAACTTCCTGGCACTCTTTCAAACAAACCCACCTGCAGAACAATACAGAGTCATTTGCTTTGTGAGTTGTCGACTAAAAGCGTCACGCTGAGGTAAGGATCAACTTTTATTCTTATAGGCTTGAGTATGCAGGGTGCTTTACAATAGAACCATAAATGGTTTAGGATGGTAAACCATTGCTTTTGTGAAGTGAGAGAAATGTATGAATGGTGTTTAGAGTTGGTAACCTAAATTCTTTACTTGTCTTAGAGAGAGTCAGACATTTTCTGAAAGGGGGAAGTGCTTTAAGTGTGTGTGTGTGTGTGTGTGTGTGTGTGTGTGTGTGTGTGTGTGTGTGTGTGTGTGTGTGTGTGTGTGTGTGTGTGTGTGTGCGTGCGTGCGTGCGTGCGTGCGTGTGTGTGTGTGTGTGTGTGTGTGTGTGTGTGTGTGTGTGTGCTTACAGCCATTAATTTGATGTGCTGCTGGACAGAGAGTTTTACACAATAGTTTTAGTTCTTGTCAAAAAGTGTCAGTGAGCTGCATGTAAATATTTACACATTTAAACACAAAGTTTAAGACTGAACATACGAGATCCAACGTGAACATCTACCAGATGGCTGAGTAAATCAAAGAGAGTATTAATGACATAGACAATGTGTCACTCTGAAGAGTTTGTGTGTGTGTGTTTACAGCCTCTGATGATTCACCCTGATGTGCTGCTGGACAGAGAGTTTTACACAATAGTTTTAGTTCTGGTCAAAAAGTGTCAGTGAGCTGCATGTAAATATTTACACATTTAAACACAAAGTTTAAGACTGAACATACAAAATCCAAATATCTAATATTTGGGAGAAAAGCACTTTGTGAACATCTGCCAGATGGCTGAGTCTCGAGAGCAAGCAAGCAGACCCACCCCATTCTACAGTCAGATTCTTTAACTTTGAGGAGACCTGCAACCATTTCATAAGTACTTGACCAGCGTGTGGGGCTGTCATTCACAACAGTTAGGCCGCACTCATCCACTGTCAGTGAGCCATGTCATGTTTGATATAAAAAGTCCATGAGTTTAGACTGAAATGGTGTGCCAGTAAGGGCTGGTAAATGCATTATAATGACTGCAGCGTCAGACTGATGTGGTTCTGCTCACTGGTGAGGCTGGCCTTCTTTTTCTTGCTTTTCTGCATTTGCAGTACAATTTAGATGACAAAACTTTCTGTGTGTGGAATTTAGGTGATGAACATATCTGAGAGGTAAGACATTCCTCTTCCTCGCAGCTTGGTGCTTCACGCATCTCCTCGTGGTTCATCATTTTTTCTTAGAGCTCGGCTTTTCACCATTCGGACAGATCTGAGCTTTTAAAGAGTTATCCACTATAGGATTACACTCAGAAGGGAGGGGGCTGTGGGAACCGCTGAGTAACACAATAAGAAACTTCACGCGCCATTACACACATTAGCCTATGACGTGGGGATCATGGACATCTGGACGCTCAACAATACGCCATTGATGATGCGGCGTGGGGGGTCTAGGCCATCTGGACGATCAACAATACACATGTCCATTTGATTAATGATACGGAAGGGGGGGCAAAGATTGAACAATACACCTGTCCATTTGATTAATGATAGGAAAGGGGGGTAAGGTCAAGGGTCAAAATGAACAATAGGACTGAAAGGTCTAAAAGGTCAAAGAACAATAGACCTGTCAAAATGTTTGACGAAAGGTATCTTATTATGTCTCTCTAACCTTCTATTTCTGGGGAGCTGAGAATAGCTTCAACCATGCCTTATTCCTCATACAGTCCATCCATATCAATATTCTTAAGTTTGCAGGCTTGTACTGCATTACTGTACTCTCCATAAGAGACATCAGCTGTGAGGCTAAGCTTGGACATCTTGCGGTGAAAGCTGTTCTCAGAGGTCATACCTTTCAGTCACATACCTCTTTGTTCTTTCATAGAAGTGAATGAAATCAGTCTCACATTTCTTTGCGATATCAGGAGTTAACTGTTTGAGTGTGCTGTTCACAGCAAAGCCAAAAAAAAAGTGGTCATTTAGTCTCCGCTCAAGCTTGACTTTAAGCTCACTCATCACTTTAAACACAGAAGTAATGCTGAATGATTTGGCCTGAAGTGCTTCAATGGAGTCTGAAAAAGCCTTCAGAATGTGACTGAGGAAAAGGAAGTACATCTCAGACACTTCAGTTCTGTCCTCTGCAAAACACCTCCACAAAATCTTCTTCCTCACCAAGGCTCTGGAAATAACTCATCAAGGGCTTCCAACACTTCAGCATTTGGTCGATAGATGGCAGCAGAGACAGCCACCTTGTGACGACATGACGCAGCAGGTTGCACCCGTCCACTTCCACAAACTCACAAAACTCCCTAAGCTGCGCTGTTCTACTGGCTGAGATGCTAAAATGGCTATAGACCTTCAATACAGTGTTTTCAATGTCCAGATCCAAGTTGCCAGCTGCATATCTTGTGGCATTGTGCAAGATGTGTGCTAAACAGCTAGCAAGCACATCATTTTGAGCTAATTTTAGCTTCTGATAAACACTGTTGTGTTTTCCATAGTTAACGCTGGCGTTGTCTGCTGTATAAGCTGACAGTTTATGTAAATTAAGACCAGACGTCTCGAGTTTGGCCAGCAGCTGATTTGTTATAGCTTCCGATGTCTCATTACTATCACTGTAGAAGTCAAGCAGAGCGTTCTGCACGCCCTCTTCAAAGTGAAAATATCTGAGGACTATTGGGAAGCATTTTGTCGTGCCTTTGTTTGATGCGTCAGTCGCCAGTGAATAATGCAGTTCATTTTCTTTTATGTAATCCACATGCGCCTGGATGGAATAGGGTGCTAGGACATTTTCACACAAAGCTTTAGCTTTAGTTTTTCCACACGTTACTCCTTTTGCTACTGCTTAATTGCTGTAGACTTCTCGGTCAACTTTTATTCCACAGTCTACACTCCTGTATGACTGGTGATGCTTGACGGCGTGATGAACTTTACAAAGTTCTGCCGCAGATATTTTGTCATCCTGGGGAGATGTGGCTTCACGGAAGAAGGAAAGAAGAGAAGACGTACCCGCGCTTTGATTGTTGCTCCTGTGCTTTTCAGTGCTAGCATGTCGATCAAGCGCGCCTCTCCCTTTGCTGCTTACATCCACATCACAACGACAAACCGTACAATATGCATGACAGTCATCTTTCCTACTTTTGGCGATGAATCCATATTCCTTTGTCCATTCGGGATTAAATGTAGTCTTTCGTTTCGGCATTTTGATGTCTGCCGGTACAGTGTGCAGAACTGCAGGTGGCTCGGTGCGCTCCCTTTTTGTTGGCCTGCGTCTGACTGCGATCAACCACCTAAACATGGCTGCTTTTACTTTCGCTGTTAACCAATAGAATTGATTTCACACCGGCTTTATCTATTAATGTCATAAAAACATATTTTAGAATTTATAATTGCATTATAGATTTAAATAGGCTATCATAAATGCCTATTTAATTCATTTTATAATTTTTTTCGTATAAGATAGAATAAATTGTTATGTCAAAAAGAGGACAAATGAGTGTCCGTCTCAAGGGTGCGCTGGTAGGCAGACACTCTTTTTTAAAACCGGACTGTCCGTATTAAAGCCAGACATATGGCCACCCTAATTACAATCCATGTTTTTCTCTGGATTAAGCTAACAGGACTCCCTCAGATGACGTCGCTTGGTTTGGCCAAAAAATAACTTTCTCACAAAAATGACTAAAAGCCTAAATAATTTATATTTGTGTAAAAAATGTTTAAACTGAGTTTCTATTAGGTTCCTCTAAACATTGGTTCATGGGAGTCTCTAACCTGCAATTTGCTCTTTAAAGAAGGCTCTAGCTTTGTGTCTTTGGGAACGTTTAACAACTACGTGATCAAAATTGGCTGAAAAATAAAGAAATGAGAAAATTGCTAACCTTTTTAAACTACAAGGCAGTCAGCTTTGGTATGAAACACAAATAAACAAAAAAAACTTGATTGACAAGTTGAGTTAGACAAGCTAAAAAGCATCCTGGGTGCAGCACAGTCTGCTGTCAGGCATCAATAATCTTTAACTTCACATTGTCTTGAGCCGCGTTGTAGAAACAGTTGAGCTTCTACAACTGTGACTAAAACCAAAAGTTGATATTGTGATCCTCTCTTCATTATGAGTTTTTACCTCATAAAACATACAAAAGCAGGCTGTTAAACATGAATTTAGTTGATTTGTTCTGGGTTTTTTGAAGGAAACTAAAGAATTTGCTTCTTGACTCGACTGAGCTAAGTTACCACAGGGACGACCCAGAACCGGAAAGTTGTGGGATCGGGTCCTGCTCAGGCTGTCGCATTTGTAGTGTCCTTGGGCAAGGCACTTAACTCTCCTTGTCTGGTGGTGGTCGATGAGACCAGTGGTGCCTGTGCTTGGCAGCCACCACAGGGCAGCTGTGGCTACAATGTAGCTCATCATCAACATGTGAAAGACTGATTGTGTTGTGAAGCACCTTGGGGGGGTTGTACTACCCTAGAGGGTGCTATGCAAACACAGGCCAGTTACCATTCACCACCGGTTGATGTGTGAAGACATTATTGTTGAGGATGAAGGCTCAAAAAGGAAAGTCATCTATGGATAACGGGTGGCCCTCAAACCCACAGCGCCAACAAGCATTGCTCTTGGGCTCTGGACATTAATTGGACTTCATTGTGAAATATTTAGAATAAATAATCAACCATATTATATGGCTAAACATGCACTTCAAGAAAGTGGAGTATTCATTTTGACTCCAAATTTTAAACCTGGGAGAAGATGCCTCAGCACGGTTCCTGCTGCAGTGGAAGGTGACAGAAGGTGGAAGATGCCAAAGCATATTTATTCAAGAGCTGTCCCTGCTGTCAGTAAGGTTTGAA